GGCCGGCGCGGGGACGGCGGCGGCGGCGGCAGGAGCTGGAGCGGGAGCGGGGGCGGCAGCGACGCCAGCGGGCGAGGTCAAGGCAGTCGCCATGGTCACCATGAAGCCCAAGATCCTCTCTTTCCAGGTGCGCGATGGGACGCCGCGCTGCCAAGCGCAGCCACCCGCTCAGGTGCTGCTCCTTAGCCACCCCCGACCACGCCCCTTTTAAAGGGCGTACAATACGTAGAATACGTTTCACTCGTCGGAAGCATATTTATTCCACGACGAACCGAGTTTACTATCAATAACAGGGCCGTACATTCAGTGATCTAGGCACGCCAACTTGTGAGGATGGTGAGGTAACATTGCTGTCGATATGGCAGCGTGACGGAAACACAAACTTTGCGCCGCCCTCATACAAAAAACGCTTTTCTACGAATGCTCAGTGGTTACCTTTCGCCTCACTCCAAGCCCCTCACTGGTGTGTCCCGATCTTTTTTAAACACGTGTAGCAATAAGTGTCGACGTCATGATGTAACCTTATATATTGGGTGTTCAGACTTACCCACCCCAAAAGGGAGCTTCATATAGCCTTATGCTGACGTCCGAGATTTGTTTCCAATCGTTTCGTAATGTTAACGCGGAAAACACTTTATTTTGCCATAAAATTGTGTTCACAATCTTTTCCCAACATTACGTTAGTAGAGCGCAAACAGGTGACTCTGGCCATGTGATTTACATGAGGCACTGGCTCGTGACTTGCAGCACGCATTTCTCACCGAAGACACGGTGCATTTGTCCAGAGGTGAGTCGAGGGTGCAACATACTTTCTAAAGGTCGAGAATGACGGCTGTATGTAAATTGGGGACCAAATAACCCCTTCATGTTTTCTCGAGAAACTTACTCTCTAATTTTTCAAGTAAATTGAGGACCAAACCAAACCAGGTAAGGAAAAGGACCGAATGAGCGGGCAATTCCGATAAGGCGACCACCGCCGTCGCACTGCTGTCCATTTATTCCCTTGTGCCTTAATGAAAATCTTTCAGACTTGCTCCTGTATTGAAATTAAAAGAAAAGAAAGCACTAGAAGAGTGTCCGAATTTCATGTTCAGCGTTATAGAATATTCGCAGAAAAAAGGTAGAAAATAAAAATGGCAAGTTAAGTCATATTCATTCAACAAATAAATATTTCAATTGAATGAAAACCAACTTGAAACAAACCTTATTTCGAAAGAAATATGCCAGACCTCAGTCTGGAAAATTCAGAAGGGAGTTATGTTTTAAAAATAATGGCTATGTGTCATCTTGAACTTTTACCTGGAAGGGTATGAGGTAGTCAGTTCTCAATTTACAGATGGGTTAAACTAAATTTTCCTTCTGGCCCCTAATTTACATGCGCCGGGAATGCCCACGCATGCCTGATATGGAATAGGGCGATATGTGCCTAATATTAGGTGCTTGCCGGAGCAACATCCGTGAAAACTCTGCGCGAATCGGCGTCACTTCAGACAGCGCACCTATGACTCTCAATGCACGAATGTGTGCAACGGAGTGACGCGGTTCGTCAACTCACTCGCCTTCTCACCCGACGTTGTTAGATTGGGTCTACATTGCGTCCCATGCCTTGAGGAGTTGCCTTATGATCTTTGTCCGTCTTATGTACTTTTATAATATTTTTATGATGTATAACGCAAGCGTATACAATACATATAGGATTTACAACTGGTTTTATCTGTTGTATTTTTATTAAGTCGTATGACCGTGCCGTTTCCTTTTCGATCGTGCCATTTAGGAGCACACCGCAAACCGTAACTGCATCTTCGCACTGGATCCAGACTTTTCACGGAGAGCCATTATCCTGAGATGCACTTCGTACTACAAGAAAAATATTTTCTTCATGGTAGATGAATTGGAGAGCTAATTTCCAAACTGACTTACAAAATTTGTCCAAGACATTTATTCAAATTAAGCACAATATATCAGGATAGGATTCAACGGCTATCATAGGACCGTTTATCGTAGGAGAAAACAGATTTTTGAACACAATATTTGGTAGTATGATGGAGAAGCGTCTTAAGAATATATTGATAGGTAAAACTAGAGAATAAATGGAAATGGAGATTCCTCACTTTCGAAATAGGTTCTTTAATTATTCTAATTACCGAATCCTCTAACCTTTTCACGCACAGAAATACATAATGAGAGTAGACAGATGATGTTAAGAGAGTGTGTGCATAAATTTACATACGTAAAATTGCTACAATCATATTACTCCTATTCCAAGAAGTCAAAAATTTACGTTTTAAAGTTTTTAATAATTTTTTGGTCTTGATTTTTCATGATAAAAAATAATAATGAATATAATAATGATATTGTTACACTTGAGAGTGAATTTCGGTCATTCATGTGCTTGGCTCCAATTTGGCGCGGGTAAGTCTGGACAACCTGTGTACTAATCATATCAACCGATATGTATAGCAGAATATTTCAGTAATATACATTGTCTGCTTTAAACGCTCGCACCAGAAATCTGACGATAGTCCTAGATGGCGAGCCGAGTTACAGGCTACAAAATCTAGACTTGGTTATATGAGAGTCATAGAGGGCTTGCATGGGAATGGAGAAAATTCAATTTACAAATATTTTCACCAGATCAGAAAAATATTGGAATTTGTACGTTCGATAACAACAATGAACTATATTAAAAATAAAACAAATTTCAAGAGAAACAATTTTAAAAACATACTATTTCATGAAATGAAAAAGATTTATGAAATTAATCATTTCATTTTCATGAATAGCGCGAATAATGTGTTATAAAAACATGGATGAAATACCTAGCTTGACTATTCTCATTATAGTCAGCATAGCCATGATAATTGTGTCCTCATAAAAGTTATAGTCTTCTAATTGATACCAATATTAGCGCGTTTTAAATGCGAGCCCACAATTTAAGATATAAATCTTGCATTGCCTTGTGCAAGTAATGATTTCATCCGTATTTATTCAGTAAATATAACCAAAGTACGTACTATACCGATGTTTAAGAATTAAATTTATAAACTTCTGGGACATGTAAGTGGGTCGAAGATGATGCCTTTTTGAAAATGGTCATGTGGTGGGAAATTTAAAATAACGAAGTTACATGTGTGACAGTTGCGTCTGTTTGGTAGGCAACTCAGCATGTACTGGTGATTGGCAGGCTCACGAAATCTCTCTGACTGTGTCAAAATGTGAATTTCCAAACACTAGCGCGAACTGAATTGCCTTCAATCGGGGGCATATATCGCACGTGTAACTTCATTATATGGAATTTCTCACATGTTCGTTGGAACAAACTGACATCTTAGACTCCATTATGTCTTAGAAGTTTGCAATTTTATTCTAAAGCACCTCATTAGATTCATGAGGTTACACAATAATAAGTGAAACGAGAGAGACTAAATTCGCAACTGAATCAGATCTCGAGGTAAATGGCCTCCATTGTAAAAACACCGCAAATGTACAGTATATACAAGTACACAAAAATACAATATTTTACCATTTTTATACTCATTTTTTGGAAGTGTTTCTCGATCTATGAACGCCAAAAAAATAATAAAATCATTCGGATCACTCCATACAAGTCGAGAGTTTAGAGCTTGTCTCGATTGAGACAGTGGAGAGATAGCTGGAGGGGGGGCAATCCCCCGTACACTGACGTGGAGGTCGAGACCGGATCTAACCATTCATTGGGTAAGGAACATCGGCGCCTCACGAGATAAAACATATACTACACTAACAAGACCATAGGAGGTGACGAGCCCGGAAACAATCGATGAAAATTCTCCTTCTCTCCGAGAGTCCCTCCATCCCTCCCCCAGACCTGCGCGTCCCCAGCTAGCCCTCGTCCCGGCGAGCACGCTCTCGGGGCGGGGGCACTGTGTGGTGCGTCTGGCAGATGTTCTCGCAGGTGCAGGAGGGCGCGCGGCGGTCGTCCGAGGCGGCGGCGGCGGCGGCGGGTGGCGCGCCGGGTTCGGCGGCGGCAGCCGACGCGAAAGAGCGCGCAGCCGCCCACACGCACTCGCACGCGCACGCCCACGCCCACGCTCACGCCCACGTGCACGTGCCCCCGGCGGGGCCCGCCGGGGCGGACGCCGAGCCCATGCAGCCGCAAGACCTCAAGCCCGTGGAATGCAACCTGTGCCATCGCAAGTTCAAGAACATCCCAGCGCTCAACGGGCACATGCGCCTGCACGGCGGTTACTTCAAAAAGGTGCGAATGCACGCCGTTCAAACCGAGGTGGCAAACTAATTGGATTGTGCAAGCTAATAATGTTGTCTGCTGCCCATTGTACGACTACTGAAAAGGCAACTTAAGTCCATGAAACCCAACCTGCCCGCACACTGCATTCCTCAGATCATTCAAGCACCACCGCTATCCCTGCACAACCATTGTACCTGCAGAGCACTCTTGGGGGGGGGGGGGATGAAAATTTCGAAAACCTTCAGTATATTTTTTGTTGCAATACTAATGCTTAAAATGGATAATTACCTGCAATATTCCCCTGCAATATTACCTGCCCACAGATACTAAAAAGCTAGAGACGAGATGATGGATTTTTAAACAATTAAAGACAATTTTTGCACAATTTATGAAACACTTAATTTTTTATAAACGCATTTTATTTCCTTCCTTTTTTGTTTCCTAATTTCGGAAAGAGGGGTGACATATTCGAGAAAAAATAGTTTATAGAGTTTATTCATCAAGTTTGGTTTGGACCCCGGATGCACAATATGATGGGCAACAAAATATCAGTAAAAATATAGATATAAATTTAATGAACTTTTTCCGCTTCGTTTTGTCAACATTACGTCATATTCGTATACCATATTAAGGTTTCCCCTTATGCATAAGACACAAATGACGATTTGACGATAATTAATAAAACGATTTGACCATCAATTCATAAAATTTGGACTGGTGTATTATCTTGAGGGCTCCAACAAGGTGATTAAAAGAGTGTTGAAGCGTCAATAAACAAATATGTAAAGGGCACGTCCGTGCGTTGTGCAGGACTCCGAGACGAAGAAGTGCGAGAAGAAGGAGACGGCGGGCCCGCCGCTGCAGACGGCCAGCATGAGCGTGCGGGCGCTCATCGAGGAGAAGATCATCCAGAAGCGGACCACCAACCCGCAGCTGCTCAACCTCGGAGGCAAGTGGCGGAGTCCGCAGGCACGGAGCGCAGGTTATAACCTATAGGCCGACGCCATTCGATGTCTCATTCGATAGCCCCGCCGGGCAGAATATACGATTTGAAAGGAAGGAAAAATTACGATTACAGGTCCAGGAGACATCAACCACTAAGTTTATTTAAAAATATACTTACTATTAAAAATAATTTTTTAAAATTGTTTTTCACTATCGTCCATATTGTTTAAAATCTGAAAACAATGTATGTTACAGAATGTTACAAGATACATTCTAGAGGGGAAAAACTGAGACAGTACTCGAACGCTATAATGTCGAAAATCAATTTAAAATTATATTAATTTATTTTCGATTTGAATTTGACGTCAAAATTTATTGACACAAATACCTTCAAATGAAACTATTTTTGCCCGCCTCTGTAATTTTATTCAGCCTCATACATGCAATAGAAGATGAAAAAATAAAACATGAAAAACATGTTTCTCGTTGTACCTCTGCAACAGATTGCCCTAGGAGGCTGTGTTTTTGCGAATTTACGACATTTTTTACTCTCTTTCATATCAGCATCGCGAATATCTATTTCTTTGGGGGCACTTTTCACCGCCTTGTCCGGTTATACACTTTAACACGAATAAAGTGACTCGCTTTTCTCGTGTATTTTCAAGTCAATGGCGACGCGCCGGCCTTTGACCCCAGCAATAAATTTAAAAAATCTTTGAATTCAGAGAACACAAAACGTCTAACGTATTTTACTTTAAAATACGGTTTACTTTGATAACTGACTTCCGCGTAACCACTCTATTAAAAGAAATTCTGCTCAAATAAATGAGGATATTCCACACGTGTTTCGTACATTCATACACATCAAGTGTTAGTAAAACATTGCACACGGCCCTCGGACAAGATACGCTAATTTCGATTGGGACGTAACGTGCAGGTTATTTTGAAACACATCGTTGAGTAATGACATAATTTCTGAAAACATTGTCTTCATTTGATCGTGTGGATATCGTTTGACTATACAGGATGAGGGCTCCTTGCTAATATGCTGGGACCTTATCTTATATGTATTGTACAGATTGAATTTGACAAAATTGGATACTCTTCGTCGTTTAGTTTCGTATATAATTAACGTTAAACATTGGACTATGAGCTTGTGTTCTTGTAGCACGGGCAATGGCTAATGAGCAAGCAGCTTCACCTCGAATTAGGGTTCGCCACTTCGCTGGAAAACTCAATTGTTGATACTACAAGAGAAGCCCTGGAAGCGAGCACATGGCCAATATCGCGCGAGGTAAACGCACAGTCCCTCGTATAGCGAGCAATACATGCTGAGATATTACTTTGCCATTACCGGTGTGGCATATGTACAGTAGACATTTATAACATGGTTTTCAATTTTCTAGGCATTTTCTGTGCAAAAAGGCAGGTACTCTTAAAGCTTTTTGAGCTGGAGGTTAATGAAAAACCGAGTTTTTGCTACCGAAGTCGAGGATAATTGTGAACTTCTTCGGCGCATTGAAAGTGTAACGGCAGAAATAAAGGTAGCCAATAAAGTTGTGAACGTCGCGGAGGCTGTGCTGCTTTTTAACGTTTGTGAAGACCCTGTTGCATGAGGTGAAAATGCGAAATTTTGGCTGCATACGCAAGTATGATAAACTGTCGCAAATAACACTAAAATAACAATTTGTTCTCTCTTCTTTCATGTTCGTTACATAAGAAGGCAAAAATAGCAATAGAGAACAATTTTTAACGTAATAATTTGGGCTGCCTTTTTTTTTTGCAGAAAATGGCCAATAGAAAAAAAACCTTTTTCTTCAAAATTTTTGAAGAGGGTTTACATTATTTCCTTTTGCACTTACAACAAAATTAGTGTATCTTCGTGACCCGTATGAGCAAGGAAGACTGAATCATCCTGTATATGAGAGAGCAAGTGAGAGAGAGGGAGCGCACGTGACAGAGAGGGAGTGACAGACAGAGAGTGAGTGAGAGCGTGGATTTTCGAAATAGGGGTCCATGCCATATATGTGGCGGGTAAAAGAACTCGAGCTAAATGTCCCGTAAAAATAAACTCTAGAACAATTAGTGTCCTAATGAGTTCACATAATCGCTTAGCCGTGGATCTCCTCAAGAAATGAATAAATATGACCAGTCCGTTGTTGCAGCACTCCCTGGTTATTGACATGGAAGTCAAAATGTACTGGCAACGCTCAGGGGGGAACCAAATTTACAGACACATGATTGTATAATCAAAGTGCTGGATAGATATATGTAGAAGTACACGTGTAGGAAACGACACCGTCCCCTCGGGAATTTCATTCAGTGCGCAAATCGTGAACTAATTATTTTGATGAAACAGAGAAGCGCTATAACACCGGCCACGCAAGAAGGCAATTAGAGTTAACGCGTTAACCCTAATGATCTGAAAGGATCAAACGAGAGGGAAACGAATACACTTTTCCGTGTTTAAGTATTTCTGCAAAATGCATTCCGGCATTGTAAGTGAATTACACCTCATGATGTTCTAAAGGGCAATTTTTTAGTCGACGTCTAAGAAAGTAAGGAGTTCTTAAGCAATATTTTCTTGCTTGATATAAGTTGTCATTTAAAGAGGTTCATATTTTATAGATATTTCTTATGAATACGAAATGAGTACTCCCTTCTGTGACTGGAAACGTTGCAAGGTGCCATTTCCACCGTTTCGTAGTTGCATGGCAGAATGTACACAATGACCATTTTTCGTTCAGCGCCCGATTTGACTTAATCGTTTTCTAAATTGTTCGTTTTTGTGCATTTCCAACACATTATACTTGTTTTTGATGCTCCTTTTCATAGTACGAATGACGTACTGCATAGTAGCAGTGAGCGGCACATAAAACATGCCTAAAGTAGTTAAAAGGAAACTGAATGAGGGCAGCCAATATCCCTTATACAAATAAACGGTGTTTCATTGTCCTCTCATTTGAGGATGAGATCTGTGTTTTAATATTAATCAGTCACTTAAGGAATCTAATTCATGGAGTCCATAATGGATACTCTCTTTACTATCCCACGAAGAGTAGCGATCCTTTATTAGTAACCTCAGCTCTTCACCATGTTACGACGCCCTTCCTATGGCAGAAAAGGAAGAGATGAAATAGAACTCACTCTATCGGTGATTACTATAAATGAGTCTTTCCTCGTCAAATCGCACACTCACAAAAGATCACTACCTTTTAGCGACTGGAAACGTATTTTATGAGAAAACCATGCGCGCGCTATTGTTTGTTTTTTGCGCAAATATCGTTTTCTGCAGAAAATAAAATTACTGTTAAGTTTAAAAAATTTACCTTAAAAGATGAACATTGATGTGCTGTAAAAATATATTTTCAATATTTAAATAATATGTTAAAAAAATATGTTAATTTTTAAAATTAAATTTTTACATTCGGTCGACACTTAATTTGTAAATGTAAAATGTAATCGCGGTAATAAAGAAACTGACAGTTCGTCTTCTATTTCTTCTGCTGTCTTCGCCCATTGTTTGCCACCTTCTGCTCTCTTCATGAGACAAAAATAAAGTTTGACGCTGAGAATTTTCATTGTCCGGTGTGCATTTGATCCTTTTGTGCTATACTTCCGAAGGGGCAAAGAATTTAAAAATAAAGAAATAAGGTGCCTGAAACACAACACGAATTCAATTCACCCTTTTCGGTGTAAACTCATAACACTTCTCAAGTAAGTTAATGACCGTGTTGACAGACATATTTTTCGGACAGGGTAAGTGCCTAATATTACAAAACAATGCTAATTTATGCTTCTCATAAATGTCTTCAATGGGAGTGCTGAATGGCATTTCTTCGCTTCGCAAGGTTTATGGAAAGGGACTTTTGCGACATAATAAGGAGGAAAGGAACTATAATATTCTTAATAAAAGCTAGCCTTCAATTATGGCAGGAACCTATTAATTTAGCCAGGAAGTTGTTTAAGTCGGTTGATGATAATGTGAAGGACATTACCTTTATATTTCTAGCAACGCTGAATATTTAGAAAGAGAATTATTGCAACAGTGATATAATAAAAAACAATGATATATAAAAGGCACAGAGAAAATACATAGTTTCATTTCATTATGAAAACGTTAATAAAAGGTATTCTCCGTAAACTGTAGTAAAAGAAATATAAATTTAATAATTTTTATCACATACTCGTATTCGTATAAATATCCCGTCCGTTAATACTAAATTGAATTCGTTTGACACTTTTTAATTTGAATTTAATTTGGCTATGAAGGTCATGTGCCAATATCTGGCACGTAGTCAGATGTGAAGAGATATTTATGTTTATTGCTCTGTGAAAGTATATTGATGGTAATCGTGTACTCCTGATTGGCACGTGTGCACGTAAGTTTCCGCGGCTCGAGTTCATGGCTTCTTGGCTGTCCGGGTGACGCCGTGTCGTTGGCTGAGAGGCCGACGTTTCGCCTGTCATGTCGCAGACTTCTTCAGGGCAGTGACTGGGGGCAGCTATTGGCACGTGTTTGAGATGTGATGCTCTAGCAAACGCTGCAGCAAAACAGCAATTCCTATTTATTTAATTTCTCAGAATAATTTCGGTATCCCACTTTGTAACTTGCCAAACTTAAGTAGAACTTTTCCGAGATTAAAATGTTGTTTTTTTTCAAATTTGTATACTGTAGATTTTTGGGAAAAAATAAAAAGTCTTAGTGTGTCAAAAATGTTTGATTTTTTTCAAAAATTAATGAATTTAATAAATTCAAATGAAAAAACATTTTTTGTTCTTTAACGTCGCAAAATATTACATTTCTGTCAAATTATAACACTAGCTAAAAATTATGCACTTAAGCGCTATGCGAGAATTTTTTCAAAAATTTGGAAAATTGATATAATTTCGAAAAAAAAATTTTGGGAAAAAGAAAACACATTTTTCATATTTTTGCTTACACTCTTCACAGAAAAAAATTTAAAAAACTGCGACATCAAGGTCAAATTTTCCGTACATTTGTATGATTTGACGTGGAATGGCCCAAATGTTTCTTACCAGAACTTATTTAATCGTCTATAACACTTTGTTCTTACACTGTATACATCGTTAAGCGCATATTAGAAATGTGAAACTCCTCGGCGGCATTTCCCCGATTTCATCAAACGTCAAAACGTCCCCTTTCATCAAAACGTCCAAGATCTGAACTAGCGATTCGCCAGCTCCGTTCCCTCTGGACCACGTCGTTTCCCGAAGAGTATACGCTTTCGGCGGCGCAAAAAGAGATAGTGCGCTGAGCGCTTGTGTTGGTTGTCCGCAGGTTCGGGGGCGGCAGCTGCGGCTGCAGCGGCGGCAGCAGCAGCCAGCGAGAAGCTGCGGCGCCATTCGGA